ATGAGACTTCATCGAAACGTTGCCTAGATACTTCGAATCTTACACGGGAGAAAACCCGAACAACCAAAGATCCACATACAAATACCCGCGAGAACCTCAGAAAATATATATATATATATATATATAATTGCTTGCTATAGAAGAAAGTTGTTGACACCATTAAGAAACACCAGTTCAGATGCTATTTGCTCTGACCTATTCCAACCATTTCAGAGGTTTTCAAACATTTATCTAGGGTAGTTATTTAAGGATAAGCTGAATTACAAAATTCAGAGGTTCTCTGGAAAACTTGGCTGGTCAGTTCCTCTCTGTCACTGGGTTGCTGTTGTTAGGGAGGAAAAAGGAACAAGGGGGAACACTGCATATGCCACCTTGCCCTCCTGAATGGAGAGGCAAGATAAAAAACTAATACCATAGAGAAATAAATAGAATTAATAAGTAGAAGTTTTATTTCAAAACAGGGTAAAATGAAACTGAAGAAATTATTGAAGTCAGGAGTGCTTTGGCCCAAACTAGGCAGGGCTGGATCTTATCCAAAGCTAGGAGCCCAAGGCAAATGGGATTAAGGATATAATAAACACTTTTTAAATGATATATGTAAAAGCAAATTGAGTATAATTGTCTTGCCAGCAATGGTTTGCAAAAGAAATTTCAGAAGCGTAACTTTTTCTTGGGCTTTCCGCTCCCTTCTGTAGTCTGTTGAAACTGGATTCATGCCTGTTTCATCTCAGCTCTCTTTTGAGGGTTAATGCAGATAGTTGTGGCTACTAGCCAAGTTGTAAGGAACACTAAACAGGCAAAACCAGCCAAATTTATCATGGCTGTGTTTAAAGCATCTAGATTATTGGATATATGTAGCCATTATGCCACATTTCTCCTTTAAGGACTAGTGAGTTGACACTTGGATGTCAAAAAATGAAGTGAGTCAAGAGTTCCTATTTATGGGGAAACTGATAATGACAGATAACAGAGTTGGAAGGGACCTTTGAGGTTTCCTAGTCCAACCCCCTACTTAAGAGGAGACCTTATATTATACCATTCAGGACACATGGCAGTCCAAACTCTTATTGAAACCTCCAGTGATGGAGCGCCCACAACTTCTGAAGGCAAGCCATTCCACTGATTAATTGTTCTAGCTGTCAGGAAATTTCTCCTTAATTCCCTTGTTGGATCTCTCCTTGTTGGATCGAGTCTCCTCCATCCATTACTTCTTTTCTTGTTCTCGGGTAAAAAGAGTAAAAGATCACTTGTTCCAAATTTGCAGCATTAATTGGAAACTGATGAAATATCCATTCTTAGTTCACACAGAGACTACCTACTTGTTTATTTATTTGCAGGACTTACACAGTTGCCTATCTCAAACAAAAACTCTAGGACCATGTTGGCGAATCTATGGCATGCATGTCGGAAGTGGCACGCAGAGCCATTTCTGCCGGCATGTGAGAGGTCGCCCAAAAGAGCCCCACTGTGTATGTGTGTGCAGGCCGCCGCCCGACAACTGATTGTTGGGTATCTGGTGCGCATGCACAAGGGTGGGGGTGCACGGGAGGCACACACGTGCACAGAGACATGCAGCGTGCGGAGGGGTCTCACATGCATGCACAGAAACACATGACACATGAAGGGGATCGCGTGCGCATGTGCAGAGATGCACGGCAATGCAGCGGGTTGCACATGCATGCGTAGGGAGCATGGGAGGGCCACCACGCATTGCCTTCTAGGTGCTGGCATGCAAGCACATGCCAGTGAGCGCATGCGCAATTATCAGCACCGGAGCCAAAAAAGGTTAGCCACCAGTGCTCTAGGAGGTAGATGACAACAAGCCATAAAGCATAGCTAAAAATGAAAGTACCATCTTCTCAGGCCCCAGACCAAGTATCCTTGCAGCTCAACCCCCATCCTAGGTTAATGCATGGGGGAAGAGCAAGGTCTTTACAGCCTACCAGAAGGCTAAAAGGGTAAGAGGAGGGGTGGGATACAAAATTTTTAACAACCAGTTCTGTGGGCATGGCTTAGGTGGTGGGTGTGGCTTGGTGGTCATGTGACTGGGTGGACATGGCTCGGTGGTCATGTTATTGGCTGGGCGTGGCCAACTCAATATCACTCACATCAAGGAACGCATCTCCTCGCCTGGCCTCTCATGACTGTGAGGATGCTGCAACAGTCATAAGTGTGAAAAATGGTCATAAGTCACTTTTTTCAGTGCCATTGTAACTTTGAATGGACACTCCACACAAGCAAAGTACCAGCAAAGGAGGTGGAAAAAACTCCAGAGAAGTTCCTGAGACAGGAAGTCTAGTCCTGCCAGGAATGTAATAAGGGTTAACGGAGAGGTAGTTTCTATAAGCAACACCAGAATGTTTCCTTCCTGCCTTCCTTACAGGATTAGACCAGTAATTTCTTCTAACAACTGGTTCTCCGAACTGCTTAGAATGTTAACAACCAGTTCTAGCGAATAGGTGTGAACTGGTAGAATCCCACCCCTGGATAAGAGTCCGTCTATCTCTGGTGGGAGGCTGTTCCAAAGGACTGAGGGGGACCATAAAGAAGGCAGCCTCCAAGGTCCCAACAGATGGCAACATTTAAGGGAGAGCACCCACCCTAATAATCTAGTAATAGGATAGACAGATATACTCCGGGAGAATCAGTTCTGCAGATAGCCTGGCTTTGTTCCACATGGAGCTTCAAAGGTCATAACCAGCACCTTGACTTGCACCCAGAAAACCACTGGAAGCCAGAGCAGCTCTGGTGTTACTTGGCTGAATTGCAGGGCATCCAAAATTGTGTGTGCTGCTGCTGTTGCATTCTCAGCCAGTTGTAGCTTCTGGATGGTCTTCAAGGGCAGCCCCATGTAGAGCACACTGACATCATCCAAAAAGGAGATGACTAAGGCATGGACAATTGGGAACAAGAAAAATGCCTTTTTCTTACCAGTAGAAGAGGGAAATAAGGAACTAACAAATTGTGCAAGTATGTTGTAAACCTTAAGTCTCTGAATGTTGCACAAGCCTAAAAAATTCCATCTCACAAATTTCATCTGTTGATACCTGACTTTGGTGGTTGGAAAGCTTTCAAGGACACTCCTGATTAGATATTGTACAAGGAGAATTACAGTTAGTTTATGATAACCAGGAATCTTAAGGAGTTAACCTTTTCAGATTAAGAAACATTACTAAGCTCATGAAAACTTAGGCTTTTTAATAAAATTTGCCAGCCCCAAAAACTGTTACCAAGCTTCTCCCAGCTTCTTGATAATGTGGTTTTATTGCAGATATTAGAATAGATATATATTAAGAATGAAGAAAGCCAGCTGCTATCAACAGTAAGACTCAAGCAATACATACGCATAGCTGATGGAAGCTTCAAAATGCCTGCTCTCACCCATCCATTGTAGCATTGAGAACCACTTATTTTTAACCTGGAGAAGGAATTGGCATTTGTGTACTGTTGTGGTAACAATAACACAAGGCCTTTGCTTCTGACCTGGCCCATTTTAGCCCTCACACCAACAATCCATTTTCCAGATGTTAAGCCAACATCTCCAGCTACCTTTGTTGAACAACCTTCTGAGAACCTTCTATTATCTCTGGTCACTTCCTTCTGCTTGCCTTCTTGTGGATGCCACCGCCTGCCACAAAGTCTGTCTAGCCCTGGAGGATGTGCAACCCAATCACAAACCAGATCCTACCCTTGGAAACGTCCAATGGCAACCACACTGGAGATATCTCTTGCATTGTCCTATCACTCCATCGTTTTGCCCTCCCACTCATAATGACTCTTCTTTTGCTTCTGTGCTTCACTTCTTCCACCTGACCCTACTTTGAGGTTTCAGTTCTGCAAATACTACCGGTAATTCTTTCTACTACCTCACAGCTCTCTAGCTGGTTGGACTTTAACAAAGCTTTCCCACCACTTTCTCAGCACAGGTGAGGACCCTGCAGAAAGCCCTCAAACACCCCCCCACAAAAAAAACCCATTGGAAACTTGCACAGGTAGGTCCTAAGCATAATTATTATTTTTTTACACTTAGAAACATCCAATCCTGGGTCAGTCTTCTAGAGTTAAATGTAAGAAGGAAAAAGTATTTTGGATCCTACAATACAAACTGTGTACATTGGGGAAAAAATGAGAATGCAGATAAAAAAAATCATGAAAATCACAAGTAATGACTATGTGTAGCAACTGCCGGTGCTTATAGGAAGCTGCAACATTCTGCATTGCATCAGCTTTCAAAATGTTTCTAGTTAACTTGGCTTTTCTACACAAGAAATTTGCTGTTTCTAGCAGGAGAAATGCAACTCTCTGCCTCATTTCAGGGATCTTGGCAAATCAATGACCTGTTTTGAACTTCTTGCTCAGGTATGGGCTAAGATGATATGGATAAGTCCCTCCAGAAGGGCATCCAAAAAGAAGGTAAGATTGTCTGAGTGGGAACTAAACTAGTTTTCTAAAGTGGTAGTATCAGGAGAAGTGACATATCACAAAAAGTGATATGACCATACCAAGGCATACTGGATGGAATGTTGCATCCAGTTTTGGTCACTATATTATAAAAAAACAAGTTGAAACTCTGGAAAGAGGGCAGAAAAGAGAAACAAAGAGAAATGGGGGCCGAAGGCTAAAACATATGAAGAACGTTTGCAGGAATGAGGTTTATGTATAGAAGAACTAGAAGGGACATAATAGCAGTCTTCCAGTATTTGAAGGACTCCTATAAAGAAGAGGTGGTGAACTTATTTTCCAAAGCACAGACAAAAAACAATAGATGGAAATTGAACAAAGAGAAAAGCAACCTAGAACTAAGAAGAAACTTCCTGACAGCAAGAACAATCAACCAGTGGAACAACTCGCCTTTAGAAGTTGTGGGAGCTCCAACATTGGAGGCTTTTAAGAAGGGACAGGACAACCATTTGTCAAAAATGGTTTAGGGTCAGTCTTCTGCCTAAGCAGGGTGTTGGAACAGAAGACTTAACAAGTCCTTTCAACTCGTTTATTCTATTAACTGCAAACTGGAGTAAGTCAGGAAGAAGATGCCACCATAAGATTAGTTCTATTTATATACTAAGAAATATGGTTGAAATAAAGTTCTCCAGTCCAGCAAAGAAGCATGTAATATTATAATTAGGACATGGTCAGAAAACAGTTGGAAAAACATTGTTCCAGCCACTACTCTTCAGAAATGTTGGGGTTTGGGGCTCTGTTCTAAGGACCTTGCTTGAGGCTTCCCTGCAGGCACTCCTGTTGATATCCTATCTTTATTTTTTATCTTAATGCATAATATCATAGAGTGGAAGAAGCTACTGAATTCAACCACCTGAATTCCACCGTTATATGGCTCTTATTGTTAGAAATATCCTAATATTCAACCAGAATATTCTAAATGATGAATTCTGAGATGATTAAAAAACAGGTTGCGGTGCAGGAAACATGCGAACTCAAACCTTTAAAATGCTTGGTTGGGGGTGCATACTGGGATTCTGCTAAGTTGACCCCTTCTAAATATGAGAATACTGCATGGCAAGCTGCCACTGAAGATACCAAGACATTGTTGACATTCTTTTTTCCCTTGGAATGAAGATTATTCCTTTTCTAGCTGGTACTGATGCCCACTGCTTTCTGCTATCCTCATTGCCCTTTCATTCTTTGGAGGAAAATGTGTAATGTTGGAATGCCATAAACAATGTCCTCCTTTGGGAGATGCATCCACCTTCTATTCTTTCAGCATGTAGAAAATGTGTGGAAAGGCTTCTCCTTTGACACTTCATTGTTAGGAGATTTAAGTGCAGGTTAATCTGAATACCTTCTTTTCTTGGCAGAGACTGTTTTTATTTATAAAAAGTTTGCCACAATGAGTGCTTCCCAGAAGAGAAACATAGAATGTAAATCAATTCCTTGGAAAAAGAAACCTGGTTGTAATTTTGCTGTGAATGGAGAATTGGGTCTGGAGCTGTTCATTTCCACAGTAGCCCATAGTTATACACTGTGGCTTTCTAGCCTAAGCAAGACAATCTATCAGAGATTAAATAGATCGAATGAAGTACGATGATCAAGGTTTTCTGCTCCTGGTATTCTTTGTGGACAGCTACACCAATTTGGGAAAAAACCTTTAAGAGGAAGAGTGATCTCTTGTTATTTGTCTGAGGCTCCAACTTGTATAATTAGGAGTACGGGCAAATTTATGAGGGTTTTAATCCAACCTATCCATGTGGAAAAACAGTAGATGATTTGCCTATTATTTGTTTACTAACCAGCATCTGGAAATCATAGCTCTGCTTTTTCTGAACTTGAACTTTTGAGAGGGACATATTATCTCAGCTTGGGAAGTCAAGGGCTGCCAACGAACAAGTAAATGTAGAAGTACAAACCAATATCCATGCATTTGACATTAGGAACTGTTTTTCACCTGGCCTGAAAAAAAAGGGGGGCATCTGGGGTTTTTTTTGAAGGACACAGGCAACTATGTGGAAAGTATGAAAAGGAGAATTGTACACTGTTCAGATCAAGAGTTGAAATAAACCTACCAATTATTTTATCTTACTTAAATTCTTTGATAAATACCCTCAAAGAAGACTTAGAGGATGTTTTGGTTAGTGTTTATGCTTGGGAAAACAGGAAGTTAAAAAGAGCCAACTTCCTCAGTCAGAAAACTCATTGAGAATTATCTCTATGGTCAACCCTGCAAAAATGTTTAAAGCCTATGTTGACAGTGCTTGATTTCGTCAGAGTAATCTTGATGACTTTGGGAACTGTAGAAATAGGGTGAGAGGCCACAGGTTCCCTATTCATGGCACAAAACATACATTCATCAATCAATACACATATACACACCATGTGCCAATTTGATGTGGCGGTTGTCTCCAGGACTAGGAAATTTTGACTTCTGGTCCTCCCTTAGGCATGCAAGCTGGATGGGTGACTTGGAACCAGCCCCTTTCAGTCTAGCTGGGTTGTTGATGGGGGAAAAACACCTCATCTTCCTACAAGAGATTATCTGATCCCGTTTTGAAACTCAGATCAAATTTTCTCCATAAGAGCATGTTTGTGGGGTAATAATATAATATAAGGTGGAGCATGGAATAATCATTGTTTTTTCAAATCCAGCAACTTTAAGTTTTGCTGACGTCAACTCCCATAATTCCCCAACTTGCACGCTGGCTAGGGAATTCTGAGAGTTGAAGTCCATACATCTTAAAATTGCCAAGTTTAAAAAACACTGGGATAAATCAAGGCTGTGCAGAAAATGTTACATTTGCTACGATCCATTTAATTTTCCTTGCTGTCATCTTTTGCAGTTACAAAACTTGTCAAGGAAGAAAACCCTTTCCCGAAAAAGACCTTTGCAATCTCAAGTTTACCAGGATGGAAGAATGCAACCCGACCGAAATATTTACTAACCTTCAATGCAATTCCACCATGCTATACCTGAAATGCTTCATGGTCCTCAACCAATCAGAAAAACCCTTTATTGCTGTTCTGTGTTTCAGCATTGGTGGGCTTTGCATCATAGAGAACTTCTTGGTACTGTTCCTCATCTTTTCTTCTTCAAAGCTTCGGAAGAAACCTTCTTACATCCTTCTTAGCAGCTTGGCCTTAGCAGACACACTGGCAACTGTTACGTTTGTGAGCAGCTTTCTTAGCTTCCATGTTTTTAACAGGACAGGTGCTTCCAAGGAAATATACTTGCTAAAGCTTACTGGAGTCAACACCTCCTTCACAGCTTCCCTTGGCAGTCTGTTCCTGATGGCATTTGACAGGTACATATGTATCCTCCGGCCCAGCCACTACAAGCAGTTAGTCACCAGAAGAAGAGCTGTGGTGGCTCTGTTAGTGCTGTGGGCTACTGCCCTTTTCCTATCCTCCTTGCCTCTTCTGGGATGGAACTGTTGTAGTACCCAGTCTACCTGCTCCCAGCTGTTCCCTTTTGTTGCTAACAGCTATCTCTCAAGCTGGATCATCTTGGTGATGGTCCTCCTGGCTTCCATCATCTATGCATACATGCACGTCCTTTGGAAGGCTCACCAACACACCGCGAACATGAAGAAGCACCACCTGGAAGAAAGCCAACAAAACCCAAAGAGGAGAATTGACATCAAGCTGGCCAAGACGCTATCGATCGTCCTGATGGTCCTGGTGATATGTTGGCTACCAGGCTTGCTACTCATGGCCTACAGCCTCTTTTCTATAATGGACAACTCTATCAGGGTAGCATTTGCCTTTTGCATCACCCTCTGTCTGGTGAACTCAATGGTGAACCCAGCTATCTATGCCCTACGAAGCAAGGAGCTAAGCTCTTCCCTGAGGAGAATCTGCTCTTGTTTGGGGAAGGTGTTGGGCAATTCAGAGAGCAACCAGGAAGCAGAAAGCTCTTAAAAATACATCCTAGTTGGAAATTAACCCACATGCTCCTATGCATCAACATGGGAATGTTCCTCCATTTGGAAGCAACTCATAGCAATGTCATCTCCTTGAACTATAATTCCCAGCATTCTTCGCTATTGACTTTGGGAATTCCAGATCAGCGATATCCAGAAGGGTTCACAGTCCTTGTTCTCTGATGTCTGAAGGGATACCCTTCCTTCTGCTGAAGGATATGAGACTTGTATGCTCACACTTTATGAGGGCTAGGATTCCTTTGGGGAGAGGGGTTTAAGGAGGGAACAAAGGGAGACATTAGCAGCTCCAAAGTTTAAGGTACCTATTTTGCCTTTCAGCTGCCTGCTCTTGAAACCACCCCAAATGCAAAAAGCAAAAAGCTTGCACCCCCACCCCTCCGTCACAGTGGGGCTCTCTGGGGTTGTTTAAGGGATTTTGGCTCACACTTCTTGCACTTCCATTCCTCAGGCAAAAGTTATGCTCTGAAATCAAACATTCCCCAATGTTACAACTAGTGAAAAAAACTCCAGGGGACATCACTCGGTTGTCAAAACAACATCTATTAGAATGACTTAGTACCGAGGAAAAAATGGATTCACATCCAGTTCCTTGAGTGGCAGTTTAAAAAAAAACAACCTTGAGAACTATCAGCAGGAATTAAGCATTAAGCAAGTGCATCGCTGTTAAGTGAACCAATGGTTCACTATAGGCTTGGTTTTGCTAAAAGCTGGGAATAAATGCTGGTTTTCAGCAAAACCACTGTCCAATGTGGTCATGTGTGTTTTGTGATAAATGGGGCCCAGTTTCTGGGTGCCCAAAGTGTGCTCACATAATATTCTTGTATCAGAAGTGGTATAAAATATCTTAAAGAAAAATAAATATAGCATAACAATGTTAGGATAAATAAGAAACAGGAATACATTTATTTGATTGACAACCAAAAGAAACTCTTTGTACTCAGCCAAAGAATCTATTAAAATACAGTATATAGTCAGTAAATATTTTTAATCAAGGCAACTGCACTATTATCGAAGGCCAGGCATGCTTATTCAGCAGTGGAAGCAAGGCAATGAAAGCCAGCTGGAGTGGCAGGGACCGTGGAGTGCAGGTGGGACAGGTGGGGGAAAGGATAGGCAGGTAGAAGGAATTGAAATGCCCCTGAATTTTAACCGCTTGGCTGCAAGGCAGTCCAGCTGCTGTAATTTGGGGACCAGTTTTAAGCCCCTTCATTCAGCATCACCGTAACTTCAAATGGTCACTGAACAAACAGTAAGTCAATATAATGGTATGTATGGGCGGCCTTGGGGAATGAGGGAAAGACCTGCTGCCTAAGGAACAGTCAGACAAGAGGGAGCTGAGCCCACAGTTGCACAGAGGGCAGATGAAAAGTTTCAGGACAAACCCTCCCTAAGTCATTGGGCTGCAAAGGTGACAGCGAGACATTCGTATCCTCTGTACGAATTTAACAGATTCTGCTACTATGTCTTTACGAGGGAAGTAGAATTAGTCCATCTCGTCATATTTCCTGCCCCTGGTTTACTTGACAGGGCTGGCAGTAGTCAAGCTAGTCTAAAAGTACAAACTTCCAGCTTTCCCTTTTAACCTGACTCCAGGTTAAAATCATTGTAACTTTGGATAATCACTCAAGTGTTGGTTAAACGGGACTACCCGTATAGCTTGGCATGGATGTGTACATCAACTAATTGTGGTTTATTTAATAAATCATGGTTAAATTCACTATGGTTTCAACCGCTCTGTAATGCCCCACCCCTTTGTGTGTGTGTGTTATGTGTGTTACAAATGATCTTCATGACAGAAACCAAAATTAATTTAACCTAATTCCTAATTCCATTAAAATACATTTACTTAACCCAACACACCTCACAGGGTTATTTATTTGATTTACATAAGCATGGGATATCTTAACATCTTTTTCATTAATTATTTTTATTCTTTCTTTGTCTTTCTTTCTTTAGTAGGAAGTTAGCACCCACACCTCCCCTAGAAAATTGAAATATCCTAGGAAATAGTAAAAAGGCAGAATATTTTCTCTAAAAAGAGTAGAAACTCAAGAGCAGAAACTCACCTCAGAAGCAGAAGCTCACCCCCACCTTTGTTAATGGGTGGGCCATTAAGGCCTGGGCCAGAATACTTTACATAACACAGACCTCCAGGTAAAGCTATAGCAATTGCTGAAAAGCCCTTTCAGTGCATCATCATCCAGCCAGGCTCAACCAAGCCTGGAACTCAGGACAGCTTACAAAGCTGCCCCTGCATGGCCTCATGGGAGTCTGACAACCAGTCAGAATACAAGCTCCAATTCAAATCCCAACAAAGGTTATAAAACCCAGGCACTCTGGGTTTAACAACAGGGTGGTTGTTCAATGAATCCGGCTTCCCCATAGACTTTGCTTCTCAGAAGGTCTCAAAAGGGGATCACGTGACCCCGGGACACTGCAACCGTCATAAATATGAGTCAGCTGCCAAGCGCCTGACTTTTGATCACAGGACCCTGGGGATCCAGTCGTGTGTGTGTGTGTGTGTGTGTGTGTGTGTGTGTGTGTGTGTGTGTG